GAGTCCCAGAAGGTGGCGATTTTGCCCCCTCTAACCCTCGGGGGGGCAGGGTGAACCTCCAAAGGGTCCTAGGGTGTGTTCCATAAGATGGACCTCTCCATAAGGCTCATCAATTTTTAGGAGAAGAAAACAGATTATTTTTTCCTGTTTTCTTCTCCTAAAAAATTTGGTGCGTCTTATGGAGAGGTGCGTCTTATGGAGCGAAAAATACGGTAGCTGTAATTTGTCCCATTTCTCCAAGCTATTGTGTATCTCTTCAATCAACTTCACATAATTGTCTTTTAATAATGTAGTAGTTTTCTTTGTGATTTGAATCCCTAAGTATCTGACTCTCTTCTCTTCTTGAAAGTTAGTCCTTTCTATTAATTTCTCTCATTCCTGAGCTCTCATATTATTAACAAATATTTTTGATTTCTTTTGGTTTATTTTCATTCCTGCAATATCACCAAAATCCATCAGCATCTCCATCGGGTCTTCAATTGAGTCCATTGGATCCTCCAATATAATAACTAGATCATCTGCAAAAGCTTGGAGTTTAAAAGTATGACCTCTTACTTTCAGTCCTTTTATTTCCTTTTTATCTCTAATCTGCTCAGTTAATATTTCTAGAGTAAGAATGAATAGTAATGGAGAGAGTGGAGTGTGCCTCTATTTCTTTACTTTTAAGTAGCTGCTGGGAGCCAAACTCCATAAATGGCACCATCGCATGGTGCCATTTCCACAGGCTGGCTGTGGAACTCACCAAGGCCTCAGCTTTCACAGACACAGAGCTATAACAGAGGAGCGCAGGGGGCTCATGCCACAATCTATCTCTTGCTCTGAATCGCATCACACAACTCTTTAAAATTAATGGAACAGCTCTAGCCAGACTGCATCATTTCTGATTACAAAGTGAGGGACTGAGCACACACACAGATGCAGTCAGTCAATCAACCAATCTCTTTCCATAACCACAGGTGTAACATATATAGAAAACCTATCTTCTTCTCTAACATGTTAAGCTGTCGGCCTGCCTTCAGATAATCTCCCAGATGCATTCTGAACAGTCCGATTCTTCTCATCATGTATTTTGGGGATGGTGTTCCAATATGACACTCCAAGATGCAGACAGCATTTCAGTGCTTCAAGAACACTGTGTCACAAAGGAGGCGAGGTAGACTTCTCCCTGAGGAGCTGGTTTTCCAAGGACAGGCACCTTGGAGGGGGGCGGGCGCGAGGATGGGGAACCCTGCAGACTGATCCCCACTTTCCCAGGAAGGAACCTGTCCAATCCGGTCTCCTGACATATTCACAAAAGATCAAGGTTGTGGGACAGCCCCAATGAACCAGACTCTCCTTCTACATGTACCCCCCCCTCCCAAAAAGGGTGCAAGACCCCCTCAGAAGATGCCATACCTAAGGAGTCTTGTACTCGGATGTCAGCGCCGTTGTCAATGAGCAACTGCACAACTTCTTCGCTCCCTGCACAGGCTGCGAAAGATAAAATATGTTCCCCTGTGGAGATAGGAAACAGACCAACAAACAAAGGATTTAGTAAATTTCATTCCTGGCACTGGAGGCACAATCCCAGATTCACTGGTGCCCCTGTACACAGAACTCAAAAGTAATGTTATATAAATCACTTAATTCTCTTTGGCAAGAAGAACTGTCAAATAATTACCTCTTCTTTTATATATAGCACAAGATCCTGAGGAATTTGGATTTCTTGCATCAAGAACAGAGATACTCACGTGGCTTGTTGCAGTTCTCCGCCCTTCCATCCCCACAGAAAACTGACCTCCTCCCTCCCTTTTCCTCTTGTTCTTTTTCTACACCGAAACTGGCTTTTCTCCCTTTTCGTTGAAATTCAGAGTCAAGCTGCAGGCTTCCCCCACAAGACACAAGTTCTTGGAAGAGCCTCCTGAAAACATTGATGACAATATTCCCAAGGAGCACCGTAGCCCTGTGACATTGAGGGTTTCAGAGCTGTAAGGTTAGGGAATCATATACTACTGCTCTAAGATGCCCTAGTGTTACCGAGAGTGTAATCCGAACAAAGCCAAGGTGGCTGAGGGCCAGCTGACAAATGGGCTGAACCTAAGCCTCTGTCAGCCAGCAGTGTGTATGTGGGATTACTTAGAGACAGTCTCCCCTTGGCATAACTTTGAGCTGGCACAGTGGCTGCGTTCCTGGGCTGGAGGAGCTTGCCTCTGGCCTAACTCAATATCTCCTTCACTGGCTCTTCTGAAATCAGGGGCTGCAGCCTACTAGTCTGCAGGCCTCCCCATTCCTGGCCCCAAAAGGCACCTGCCCTTAAAAAACTAGAATATCAGGGAGGACTCTGCATCCTTTCTGACACGCTGTTCTTGAAGGAAGGAACACTGAATTATTACCTGTACCTTGAAGTGATAGCACTTTTCAAATACTTGAAAGGCTGTCATATAGAGGAGGGGCAGGATCTCTTCCTGATCATCCCATAATGCAGGACACGCAACAATGGGCTCAAGTTACAGGAAGCCAGATTTTGGCTGAATATCAGGAAAAATTTCCTAACTATAGGAGCAGTTAAGAAGTATGAGCAGTACGGCAACAGAACCGTTTACCTAGAGAGGTGGTGAGTGCTCCAACATTGGAGACATTCAGGAGGAGCTTAGACAACCACCTGGCAGATCTGCTTTGACTTGAATTCCTAACTTGAGCAGGGGGTTGGACTCGATGGCCTTATAGGCCCCTTCTTAACTTTACGATCCTATGAAGAGTCATAGTGGAAAACCTTCCTCAAGATACATGAACAGAAGATTCATTTTATTCAGAATTCATATGGGAAATTATCTGAATTCTTCCAGACAGATCTTTGCCACTGGAGAGCTTTGCTAACAGGCTTCTCAGATCATAAGAGGTTCTGAATGGACAATGGCATCCCCTGCCAATATAAGGGGATTTATGCCCACAGAAGAAGCTTTTGTCTATTTCATTTGGGTCAAATGTCTTTGAGTAAGAACTGCATGTAGATTTGCCACATAAGAACTGCTGGATTAGATCTATCCTTATAGCTCTAGGTATGCTAACGTTACAGACATAATAACATCAGAGCACCTTTGAGGTAAAGACGACAGTGCTCTAGTTTTATAGCTCTGAAATATTCAGCTGTTGCTAATGTGGAACCTTTGCCTGATATGGAAACATACAAAGTAAGGACGTCATAACATGCATAGATGACACAACGATTTCCCATGTCAAATGTCACATGTTTTTCTACCATGTGTTCCAAACATTTCTGCAGACATGACAAACGGCTCATCTAGACAAGGAATGTGACCAACTTGATCCTTCCAGCTGTTGTTTGACTACAGCTTCCATCATCCAAGACTAATAAAAGCCTATGACTAATAGGTTTCGAGGTGAAACACCGGGTTCTTTACTTTTGGTTTATATTATTTTATTTCATTTCAAAAATCAAAATCCCCTTGTGGTTCCGTTCTATTTCATCACCAACTGCATAGCCCTTTACTCCAGCCTTCACTCTAATTAAACTATGACCCATCAGGTTAAAAGGAAAAGAGAACACCCTCTGCGATTGTGCATTTTCACCCTCAGTGTCAGAACTTAATCTGAGTGGGAGCAGTTGGAGGAAGGAAACCGAAGTCACAGACCTCCGCCCTTTTGTTCACATCTTCTCTCTGGAGTGTTAGAATTTATTCTGAGTGAAAATTAATGAAGGCTCATTACTAAAATGCTTGAAAATTGATCTACTAAGCATGGTTTAATTACTGCCTGAAACAGGTGACAGGGGATCTATCTGAGCACAGCATGGCAGGTCCTCGGCTCTAATAAAGTCAGCTGGGAAATCCTCATATCCGCCGGCAGGAGATTTAGCTCTTCAAGGAAAAGTCAGCCTCCGTCTTAAAAAAAAATACCACCGCAGATCAGGGAATCCAGATAGGAAAGAGCTCTTTAAAGCCTTGAGCAGCAACATTTTATCATGAACCGAAGAGGATTTTAAAAATGGGGCTTGGTATAACGTAGAAGCTAGGGACAGATTTATACAGCAAACGTAAATCTAGGCATGTCCCTAGGGATTTTTATGTTTCCTCCTCAACAGGGCCATCCTGAAAAGCTAGCTGCAAGCAATGCAACCCCAACCCATCTCAAAGATATATCAGCTCTAGTGAGTTTGGGATGGGCAGTGTAACCTCTTGTGCCCTCACAACTGCCTTGGTCGTGGCACATTTTCTGTTTTGGTCGAAAACAGCTGGAGGATGGAGAAGAGAAGGAGTGGGGGAACAGCTGGATGACTCCAGATCCAAATCCCTCTCAATCCAGGCTCACAACCATTATGCTGGCATAAAGCGAGGCCCAGCTCGAGGTAGGCCTAAAGAATTTCCCACCTCCCATGACCGGGAGGGGTTTGGCCCAACCTCTGCATGCTGAGTCTCAGCTTTGCCAGCACCTCCTCCCTCTTGGACAGTTAGGACCACGCTCTAGGTTAGCAATATGGGCCTCTGATTAAGCGGCAGAGGGACAAAGAGAATCAGGGTTTTCTTCTTACAGAGGTGGCTAAACTGTATCTGGGCTGTGCCACTGCAAATTGTTGGGCAAAGGGGCATCTGATTGAATGCTCCGCCCTACCAAAAAGTCTCCAACCGCATAGAAATGTAGGCTGTGAAAAACAGACTCTCCCGAAGGCAGGGGAATGGGCCGGGACCTACCAAAGTAAATAAGATTGTCGCTCCTCCTCTTGAAGACGTATCCAGTGGCTCGTGGACCATTAATGTCTGCTCCCTTTTCAAGCAAGGCTTTCACCAGCTTCACATTTTTGTTCACCACAGCTATGTGAAGCGCCGTCTCCCCTGAAATACAAGATATGATTCCTTCCATGAAGTGGAAGACAGCGTTGGAAAAACTACAGCCTTTTTTAAAAATTGCATGATAATTCTCTGGCCAATTTGTGAAAGATTCCCTCGTGAACTACAATACAAAGGCTCTTGAAATCACTTGTAGATTAGATTAGCCCTCCCGTATCCTCAAAGAAGCTCATCTGCGTTCACTGCAGAAGATAGGGGGCTGGAATACACTGCCATGGTGATATAGAGGCTGATTTTAATGACTAACGCAATTGCAAAATTAATTGCCATTAAAATGAATAGCTGAGATTCACCTTCAGGCATTTTAGTGCTTTGTTGGTTCTGTTCCTGATGTTTATGACTGCAGCTTGAATTTCGCCAGATGCTATTTCTCAGAGATAGCCATGGCTATGAGTTTGGACTAAGAAGACCCTGAATCAGATCCTGCCTTGAACTCCTTGAGCAGCTGCCTCCCCTCCCCCGCTTTCAATCTCTGCCTCTGCCTCCGAGATGGATCGACAGTAATGACCAATAATCTCACTGGGAAGGATGAGGTGGGCAACCCAGGCTCCAGGTTAATCCCTGGGCCTGGAGGTCCTTGCTAATGTTACTGCCCTGGAGAAGCTGCCCTGTCCTGCAACATCCCCAGAAGGAGGGGCCGAGAAACCCCTTCTAAGTACTTCACACCTTAAGACCCCCTGGGAGGTTTGCCCTAAGTCAGAAGTGACTTGACAGGACACCTGAAATTACACTTTCCCTCAGGAGCCAAGGCACGGTGGCTGCTTCTCTCCCCTCCTATCGGCTGCTTCCCCACCAGGCAGGCACTTCACTGAGGGCAGTAGTGTTGCTACTGCTCTCAACACGCCAGCTGCTGACAAGGGGCAGGGAAGGAGTCCCCTCCTCCCTGAGTACCAAACAGCTGAAGCACTGGATTCCTCTTTCCCCCCCCCCTTCTCTCCCTCAGCCTGCCCTCCCCAGCACATGCTCCAGAAGCAGAAAGGAAGACAGGACTTACACCTTCTGCTGTCCGATAGGGAGAAGGCAGTCAACTCCACATTCTTGAAACAAAGATCGTGTCCTCAGCCAACCACCTCAATCAAACTTTGAGAAGCAAGATTCCCACTTGGCCCAGTGCCAAGGAAGAACAGGAGCTGTCTCTTATGTCCCCCCCTTTCCATGTCTTTTTATTTTTATTTATTTATTTATTTTGCTGAAGACAAAGGAGAGGTGGCAACACCATGGGTTCCCAGTCAGGTGAGCTCACCTGGTGCTCACCTGAGTCCCTCCCTCCTGCTTTCCCAGCTTTCTGGTTGCTATGAGACCAGTTCTGTGGTTTCTTGTCTTTTGGGGGGGGGTATGGAAGGGAGGGGAACTTTTGCAATTTGATTGCTTTGAGAATAATTACCCTTTAACTCACTAGTACTATTCAGACCATGAGCCCCACCCCACCCCTGTGGAGCCCGAAGAGTCATTGTGGCTGCATTCTTTCACCTGGTGCTCACCTGGGTCCCTCCCCCCTGCGTTCCCAGCTTTCTGGTTGCTATGAAACAAGTTCTGTGATTTCTTGTCTTTTTTTTTTTTTGTATGGAAGGGAGGGGAACATTTGCAATTTGATTGCTTTGAGGATAGTTCCCCTTTAACTCACTAGTACTATTCAGACCATGAGCCCTACCCCACCCCTGTGGAGCCCGAAGAGTCATTGTGGCTGCATTCTTTCATATTTTCCTTGTGTTTACAACAGCCCATGGCTAGAAGCAGCAAGTATCATGAACTGAACAGGGCTGACTGGGGAACCAAGGGGAGGGATAGAAATGCAATCATCTTCATTACCTGTGTAGAGCTTGGATGTCATCGCCTCATTCACAAGTTCTGGAGCTGAGTCCATCAGGAGCTGGGCAGCTTCCAAGCTATTGTAGAGGGCAGCTATGTGAAGCGCTGTCTCTCCAACAGCACCTGGGCAGAGCGTCCGATACAGAAAAGGAGGCCATGCGTCAGTCCACCACCGGTTTTCAGTAGGTCCCTGTGCAGGTAACTACAGCTACTTCCAATGTGACCGTACTACCTATTGGACAGGAAGCATAAGCTGCTGATGCTTCCCATTCTTCTCTGTTTCTACCTTCTCAAACACAGGGCGTGCCCCTTCGCTACTGAAGAGAAAGACATGCACTCAATATAGTAGCAGCACATGTATCTTATGGGGAGATGAAATGTGCACATTCTGATTTGAATCAGGAAGAGCAACACACCTGTATTTCCTGCCCCTTCTATCACTTCTGAACTTATTCTGAACCTACTTCAGCCCAGGAACACATTTCTACCATTGTTGCTCTGTTTCTCCATTCTTCATCAATCCCGGCACCCCTCCCTGATGGGCTGTGGTTTGGCGGCAAAAACGAAGTCTAGACCGGTACCTCTCTCATGAAGGTCACAGCTATGGCTGGCAAGCATCTTCTGAATGGCGGAGACATCGTTTTCCTTTGCTGCCAAGAGGAGAGGCGACTCCCAAATCCTGAAATGACCAAAAAGTAAGTATAGCAGGACGAAACAGAGAATAATGAAAGTTGCGAAGCCCATGAACTGCGCAGGAAGATTTCTTTTTTTAAATCTATGTGTCATCAAAGTTGTCTTACGAAACTGAGCCAACTGTTTTGTTCTTGGAAAAACAATTCAGAAACATCCAAGAGATACAAACAGGCACAGGCCAGAGGCCCCTGATTTTCAACCGTTCTCTCAGCAGGCAAAAGCCTGCGGGTTTTTCATAAAAGGGAAAGAAATCAGCTATGTTCTCGTGTAATGGTAACCATCGCTGACTCAGCTACCCTTGGAGGCCCCGTTTACATCTTCAGCATCTGCTCGTGGCACTAACTGTTAGGACGAAAATAAAGGATGAAAGTATTGCTTCAGCAAAATAAAATTTAAAATCTCCACTTATGTTTTGTGGTACTTCTTCAACCTCAGTGGTCACAAGCTGAAATATTTACAAATGCAGGGTTGGATCCTGACAACAGTGGTTTAACTTAATTCCCATTAAAATCAAGACATGCGTTAGTCGTGGCTTGGGCCCCATGGACTTCAACAGGAACTATATTCAACTAATGTTAGTCCTGAACTGTTTCAGTCAACAAAGCTAACATAAAAATATAAAATTAATTAAAATGGTCATTCGAAGTCTGCAGCATGTAATTATTATTCTAGCAATTAGTTAGAGTTAAACTGTACTCCATTTACACACCCAGCAAAATGGCCACTGTTATTGTGGTATTTTTGAAGTGACTTCCATACTGAATTCCTTTAATTAACTTTTTAAAAAAGAAATGTTACAAACTAATGGTCTATGGTACAACCCATACCTAAGTACTGAGGCTACACACAGAGAGAACTATAAAAGTAACTAAAACCACCTTTGGTTACAATGCAAAACAGTGAAGACTGTTGCAAGCTTTTGGTACATGGTACAAACCACACCTAACCAGAGGTGGGTGGAGTGGGAGAACACACCTGTGACCCTCTGTAACACTACTATCATAATGTAACTGAATTATAAGTTGGTTGTTATAAAAAGGAACTAATAACAAGTTATGTCCTGATTTCTAACCAGTGAATGTACATTTCTTTCTGAAGCAATTGGTATAAAGAAACTGAAAATATTACAATCCTCCAACCCAGGCTGGATTTACCATTAGGCAAAATACGAAATAGTCACCTCAGGCAACAGACTCCCCCTAAGAGAGGGAAATGAGTGGTGGCTGCTTTGCAATATTCTTTAGAACCGGCCATTTTCTAGCTTTTGGGCTGTCAGAACTTCTCAGAGCCAGGCATTGTTGAGGGCCATCCAGCAGAATTTCCTACACTGAGCACAGGGAAATGGCCTCTGTTTTGGCCATTGCTCGGAAATGTGACTTGTTCTGGCTACAGTTCCCAGAATCTGACAACCGCCACAGCCTATGGCCATGCGGGCTGGTGAATTCTGGGAATTGGAGTCCGAAGAAGGCTGGCTGCCATGCTGGGGCCAGGGCAACAGTGATTTTGCTGGAAAAGTCCTCAAGGAACTTTTCCAGCTCCGAGAGATCCTCAGAATGTGGCAGTCAGAAAACAGATGATGGTGGATAGGAAAATGGCGAAAGGAGGGAGAAGGAGGTGGTGATGGTGAAGATAAAAGAACAGTGGTAGCTGTGTAAGCAAGGTGAAGCAGCAGTGCCCTTCGTCCCACCTCAGTCTGGGGTGACCCCAAGTGAATGCTAACGTTCAGCTAAAAAAGCTTGTACCCAACAAGCCATTTCTACCCTTGTGACCTTTTGCCTCCTCTCAAAATCACGGTGCTTTCTCTTGGCAAGTACTGCTGATGCCACTAGATTCTCATCCATGGCTAGAACCAAACTTAACCAGCTTCACTCTCTGAAATGTTTATTGAATCCATTATCTGAAGTTGGGCTCCCCCAGCAATCTTGGGCAGAGAGCTTGGGCCACAAGAGCAAGATCAGGAATATGCCTGCTTTTGCCTCCTCTCAAAATCACAGTGCTTTCTCTTGGCAAGTACTGTTGATGCCACTAAATTCTCATCTATGCCTAGAACCAAACTTTACCAGCTTCACTCTCTGAAATGTTTATTAAATCCTTTATCTGCAGTTGGGCAGAGAGCTTAGGCCACAAGAGCAAGATCAGGAATATGCCTTTTGGATACAAGATCACCACTGATTCTGAATCCCTGAGTAGATGAAATTGCCATGCTGACCCAGATGACTCATTCATTTGGTCCAGTATTGTCTATTTCAGCAGAACTGGGGTGGGGGAGAGACAAGCTTACTAAGCTGTGCTACATGAGTTACCTTTAACGTGGAGGCATTAGGAATAAAACTTTGCTAGCAACACACAGCAGTAGTAATTCTACTGTAGAAGAGAACCATGAATGAGGATTGTAGCACTTCAAGGATTTGCATCAGAGGCCAATCCTTGACTGAACCCCAACATTGGGGGTTATCCATTCCCCTTTGCATAGAGAGACAGGGAGAGACTGTGGCTAATTAAAGTCAGAGAGCATCAGCTAGATATATCTCCCTATGTCGGTTCTAATATTCTGCCAACAAACTCAATCCGCGTAGCTCAATTCTTGGCTTGGCTATCAAACAGGGTCATTCCTAACATGCCTCCAGCACACAGAACTCCTAGAAGCCTTGAGCTTCCATCCGTTGAAGACACAGTCCCATCACTTTCTATAACCATTTGGATCCCAATGGATCATTCTCTTTAAGGAACAAAGCCAGGTTGTTTGTCTGGAATCTGCAGGCCGGAATGATGGAAAGCAAAGCCAAGCCTGCTTGGAATGAATACCCTTCCATAGCACAACTGCTCTAGTCTCACACAGATCTCATCAGTTTCTAGGGCCCTGAACAGAATTGAAGTTCACAATCGCCTGCACTCTTGTTTAACAAAACAAAACGCCATGTGAAAAATATGGGGATCAGCCAGAAGGAGAAGCCCTCTCCTCAGAAAGTGATAGTTGAGGAGTTCTTAGAGGGGAACAGATGGATTCCTATTTAGTGTCTATCCCCAGAGAAGAATCTGAGAAAGACAACGAAGCTTGGCAGAAACAAACCGCAGGAGCGCTCTTTCAGATTCTATTTCATGATGCCTCTGAAACACGGCAGCCTCCTCTAGTCAACTATTACGCGGGAATAAGTGGGGGAAAGTGCAGGACTCCCTTTCACAGCTGCACCATCCTTATACAGTAAGTGATGGAGGTTTGCTGACATACACCATGCAAAACCAGAAGATAAATGGAAGCCACAAACTAGCAGGGAATAGCAGATGTCTCTGGCTCCATTCTGCTTTTGTTCCCTAGCTGACTCTGTCTTGCGTTATACTCCACCTTCTTTCCAATTTAACCTGGACAACTTCCAGATTTAATTTCCAAATAAGTATATGTGGAGTTGTTTCTTCTTCTTCTTCTTCTTCTTCTTCTTCTTCTTCTTCTTCTTCTTCTTCTTCTTCTTCTTCTTCT